GCCCGTTCCAGCTGGGGCGTCAATCATGAATGGCTGCGGTTGTTTGTTCCGAACAGCGTCAATTATGGTGTTGTAGACGTCTCTTTGCTCCGATGTTAAACCCGGCTCGAATCTGTCAGCGTAAGCTGTTTGTTGGGAGGGGTTAAAAGAAGCTACCATGCGTTGGTATTCTGTTTGTCGATGGGATGGTTCGGGGAGGCCGAGTTGTGTGTTCGTCTTGCCGTGGTGCTGCAACTTTAAATCGATGACACGTAATGCCTCTTGGCAAGCGTCGGTATTGTCTAGTGTGCGCGTGAAGTCCTCGATAAGGTGGTCTTTGTAGTCATTCCACAACTTAGGAGCGGGGCCACCGTCCAAAATAAGAGTAACAAAAAGACCGCGTAGTTGAGAGGGCATCTCGAAAGTGATGGCTTCTTCCATGCATATGAAATACTCTTCCTGGCCAGTTACTAGCCCTTGGGCTCTGGCGGCATCTTGAAATGTGACGTGCACGGTGCGGGCACCAGACGGAGGAGTAACTGTCCGCAAATCGACGTACGATCTACCACAGTTTTTGTGCAGGAGGAGTCGGAGGTAATACAGGTCGCCTACGGCGGGAGATTGAAACTTGATGCGACAGACATGCGACTTCCGTCGTTGAGAGACGGTGTTGCCGTAGGAATCTAACCATTTACCTGGTGCGGCGGAAGTCGGCATAGGATCGTCTTTTTTCTTTTTAGTGACGGTGTACAACTCGTAGTAGTCAAGCAGGGTTAGGTTATCGAAGAGGTCGTCGAGCGGGCGTTTGAAGTATCTCATGAGGTCGGACACAGCGTCTTCTGCGCACTGACGACGTACTTCGTCGGTAGCATTGGATGGGTACATGACGTTGTTTTCCCCTTCTAGATGAGCGTGAATACTGGTGACTGCAGGATCACGAGACATCGTTTCATACCCGAGCATGTTCCAGGTCGCTTCAGCGGCGGATTCATATCTTGTTTTTCTGTACTGTTCAATTTCGCTGGTGATACCGGCAACGCGAGCCCTCGAAAGATCAGCTCCTTTCGTGATGTATTTATAAACGTACTTGACCGCGCAAGACCCAGTAACGACGTCAGTGCAGATGTGGCAGTTATAGCGGAGCAAAAGGTATGGGTTGTAAGGGACAACCCACTCGTTACCAATTTCGACATCTACCCATTTACCGTCAACTCGTTGACGGATAGTGGGGCGGTCACCGTTGTCGATTCTTTTGTACTCAGCGCGACCTGTTTTTTCATTGACTGCAGCTATCGACCGAAAGGGCTGTGGGAAATGTTTGTTGCAGTATGATTTTTTGGTAGTCTTATTGGTGTTCATACATACGGCGTTTATATTTCTATGTCCGCATGGCCTGTGGATCATGTGCTTTAAGACTGCTTCGCGTAGACGGCCTCCTGCGATATTAGGAGAAGGCAGTTGTGCCCATACCCATGAGTCCATGTTGGTAAAAGCATCATCGTTTTTGAAGCGGCAGATGCAGTGACAGTGGGGGTAGCCGCGACTTTGGTACTCTATGGTGTAAAAATAATAATCAAGCTCGGAGAACACATCCCCTGATTTGAGATCAGCGATTATCTGCGCAAGTTTATGCTTGAAAACTCTGCAGCAGNAGTACTCGATGGTGTAAAAATAATAATCAAGCTTTGAGAACACGTCCCCTGATTTGAGATCAGCGATTATCTGCGCAAGTTTATGCTTAAAAACTCTGCAGCAGAAGTCTGGACGATTTGCAGCGGTTTGGCCAGGCAATAGATTGGCAACAATTTCAGGCCACTCGGGGTTGCATGTGATAGTTATGAACAGTTGAGGACGACCTCGGCGACTAACAATGCTAAGGGCATCTTCGGTATCTGATTTGCGTTTCAAAGGCGATCCGTGGAATGTTGCAGGTAGTAACTTACCAGGTTGGTTATCCCCTGTGGACTCGGTGATAGACCTCTTACTGGCAAGTCGAAGCTTATCTTGCAAATGATCAGACTCGAAATACGTTAGCTTATTCTCTTCAAAACGCGAAAACATGTCGCAACACNCCCGTGAAAAGTTGCAGGTAGTAACTTACCAGGTTGGTTATCCCCTGTGGACTCGGTGATAAGACCTCTTACTGGCAAGTCGAAGCTTATCTTGCAAATGATCAGACTCGAAATACGTTAGCTTATTCTCTTCAAAACGCGAAAACATGTCGCAACACCACTCCTGGGCAATTCGGCTGTTACGTTGAAAGATTGGTTCAGATAGGAGACGTTGTCGACAATATGATAAGAAGGGGACATGCTTGGTGCCGGCACGGTTCATGGTTCGAGACTTGTTGCGAGGTGTTTCGCTGTAATGACCCTTGCTCCAGCCGCTTTCGCCATTGTTAAATAAACACGGGAATTGTAAGGGTTCGTAGCAAGGAGAATAGAGAGGTAA